CAAGTTTGAAAAAAAAAACAATTTTTTATCCATAAAAATAAAGTATCGTACTTGTAACAAAGAGAAATTCGGTAAATAAATGAGCCTTAACAGTGCTAAAAATATTGCGTCGCCAATAATAACACATGTTTTTTTCACCATAAGTCTTAATATTGATTTGGTAATATAAACTTAATGAGTTGCCTACAGTAAATTACTAGTAGGGATTTTAGTGGTATGAAATCTGTCGGGAATTGTCCTTTTCAGTTCATAACGTTGTTACGCGAGCACGTGGTTAAGAGTGTAATTGTTGAATTTAAAGGAAAATAAAACCGTAATCACGTAAGTAAACACATATAATTAAATAATAACATGTAATGTTTATGAACATAATGAAAAAATGCATTTATTTTTTCTAAAGTTTGTCATATTCGTACATATCGGTACGGCTTCTAGTTGCACATTGATATTGTATTTCATACTAAAGAATAAAGTGTGCAATTATTGCAATCTTATCTTATTTTTTTACGTAAATTATAATACAATTTAACAATACATTTGAATCCTATAGATTGCTCAATTCATTGACATTTCTCAAATCTCATGTCATGCATTGCATTGTATATGCATCATTTCATGTGTTACTTCGTTTAATGATTTTGTATACATAAATGATTTTCTCAGACTATATTACTTATAATTTACAATATCTCTTGCTCCCTGTTATTATGTTCAGTGTTTGCATATATGCATTCATATAAATATAATTGCAAATATACATTTTAACTATAAGTGCAATATAATTTATATTATAACTTCTTAAATTGTTACAATATTACACATTATTAAATCCTTATCTTCATCTTCAGTTAATATCTCTCTTTTGAAATTAAGTAAGAAGTACTTATTATTTTATTTTATTAATACATATTGCAATATTTGATTGTGCAATATTGCGCAAACATGAAATATTGTGAATGTATTATCTATTTGGAAAATTTAATGTTTTTTATATGTCTGTAAAATTGTGTCTAATTGAATATTATTTTGTTGATTTTTATAGAATGCCGCTTGCTAAAGATTTCCTTCATCCAAGTCCAGCTGAAGAAAAGAAGAAACATAAATTGAAGAGGCTTGTGCAAAAACCAAACAGTTATTTTATGGATGTTAAATGTCCTGGATGTTACGCCATCAAAACCATTTTTTCACATGCACAAATATCAGTAGAATGTGATGGCTGTCGTACGATACTCTGCAGATCTACAGGTGGCAAAGCACGATTAACTGAAGGTTGTTCCTTCAGAAGGAAGGTCCAGTGCTAATGTAACAATGGTTAAGACAACATAATGTACACATTTCTCTTTATATTCAAGAAATAAACATAATTACTACATATTTATTTTTCTCTTCTTACCGCATCCTATTTTTACTTGTAATACGTAATCTTGTGTAAGAGGGAACAAGTATTTTATTAATATTCATAAAACTAAAATGTGCATTTCTATATCTCTAAATATACAATAAATATATAAATAACATTAACATAATTTGTCTTTATTTCGATTTTACATCCAGGTCTTTTATGACTAATTTAACAGTATCTTAAATTTGTTTAGGATTATAATAAAATATAAACAAACGGTTTGCATAACCATTAATGAGATAAATTATATGCGCAATACGTAAGTGATTTGTATTAAACGAATCGTCGAATATTATGGTTGCGACACATGATAATCCGAATAAATTTATTTCGAAATGACTTAATTTACTACTTATGAGTGTAAAATTGCATTATATGCTTCAAATATGCCTCCTGCTACTTCCACTGAACGTGATTTCAAAGACAACTATAACAAAGAAAATAATTGAAAACCACATTAGAAAATATTTTATCATTGATAAATTTTGGATTTAAATTTGAACTTACTGTAACATCAGTATTCCCTGGCTGAATTTTCAGTTCATTTAATACCCAAACATTATTTGTTAATTTAAGCGATTGATATAACATATCTTGACCTTCTACATTCCTCTTGGCAATTGTAAATACATTGTTCTGTTGCATTTTTTGGACAACTTGATCTGCAGTCAGCATTATTCCTTTCAATGTATTCTGTACCTATAATATTAATATGAATTCGTAGGCATTATTATTCATATGCATTACATGATACTAAATTTAATTATATAATATATAAGAAAACGAAAAATACCTCATTTTGAGCAGGTATATCCTTCCATGTATTAAGAAACACTCTTTTATCTAATTGCCCATCCTCTGTGAAATATATATTCATGGGTACAATACAAGCGAAATAAAATATATCGATATTATTTTTTATCGCAACTTGAAGATTATTCAAAGGTTCCATGCGTTGCACGGCGCCAGCTGTAGATAAGATTATATTGGTTTCTACACTAGCTCCAGGATTTAAAGGACTTGGTACTTGCAACGGCGCAGCAGGAGTTAAACCAAAACTATTTTTATTCAATTGTATTGCAAAACCTCCCATTGGTTGCATTGCTTTATTTGTAAATGTCATGTCCATGCTAATCTGTCCATTCCTGTTTAAAAGAGATATTAATAAATATTTATTTTCATCATACTTTAATATATGTCTAAATGATAGTGCTTACTTCCTAGAGAACGTTCCCCATATATCAAGACCTTTGCCTTTTTCTGCAGGTAACCAATTAACTTTAGGTAATATATAAGAGGTAGGTCCTTGGCTGAAGCCAAATATGTCACCAAGAAGTCCGGTAGTACTTTGAGACACTACTGGTGCACTATTTGCTGTGTCAGTAGCACCTAAAATTCCATCCAGACCACCTCCTAATAAGTCCAAACCTAATCCTGCTTGAGGAGTCGGAGTTGAGGTAACCATGGATGGTCCGCCTATAAGAGTTAATGTAAACTACAGTTTACAAGATGTACAAAAATATTAATATAATATTTTAACAAGTACTTACCAATATCCATACTAAGCAGATCACCTATTAGAGAATCCTGAGCAGGAATAACTTGAGCGTGAAGTTGCGCCGCGTGTTGTCCTGAATCTTCGCTTGAATTACTTCTAGCTGGTAATGACTTTCTAGCACCAGCTGCTCTACCTTCGACAAAAGCAGTAGGTGGTTTATGATATACCGATGCCAAACTTGAAATATGACATATCAACTCGTCCAATAATGTTGGTTCTAAAAGATCTGTTTCTTCTGAAATTAGTGGTTTTTCAGCAAGCACAACTTCTTTGGCAGCTGCTGGATCAGTACTAAGTAAACGCCAATAGATAAATCCGCGATCTCTTAAATCAGGATTATCAGAATCCTGTGTAGCTAAGCTGAGAACTTGTTGAACCAATTCTTGGGTATCCGTAGGTCGTTTAAGAAACAGTTTAACGATTGCTGTAAGCAACTGTAATTGTACTTGTGTGTTTTCGTCATGGAATCCCTCTAAGAAGCTTTCAAGAAGTTCATCTGCATTATCAATACGTTCTGCATATTCTCCAATGATCCATATCATAGAAGCACGCGCTTCTGGTTCATCCAATGTATCCAAATTTTCACAAAGAGTTGAAATGATACTTTCATATTTATTTGGATATTTTCGGAAAATATCTTTTATAACAACAATTGCTTCTTGGACGACGTAATTTACTTTCGTTTGTATTAAATCCAATAGTGTTGAAACACATCGTTCAGCCGAAGGTTCAACCTTGATGGCACAACGGCCGATAGCTCTTACAGCTTTTCGAACAAAGTCTACGTCAACTTCAGTAGCATATTCTTTTAACTCAGATAAAACTTGAGCTATATTTGCTTGAGATGCTAAACGAATCATAATGTCCAATTTCTCAAGTTTCACATAAATTGGATCATTGTACTTGACAAAGAAAACTTTCATCTCATGTTTTAAAATGTCTGGGCGTTTTTGTACAATAAGATTTATATTTCTTAATGCTACGTATTGAACTTCCGGTTCAGAACTGAGTAATGTTACAAGTGGCGGTGCTAATTTCTTCGTTAAAGTGCCAACAAAATCAGACTCTGATTGTAACATTTCCATTAATTTCATTAATACCTAAACATGAAAAAAGTACTTTTTCAATTTGGAGCAAAAGTGGTATAAGTTTATCGTTGTATAAAGTACTAGTTTATAGTTGATAGGTAACCTTAACAGCAGATAGAACAACTGCAGCATTAGCATGAGCTAAGCGTGGAGTAATTCGTTCACAGATACTTTGTGCTTCACGTTCGTCTTTGGGCGAGTAATTTGCCAGTGAGTCCAAAATGAAAACCTGACCCCATTCTGTACATTCATTGAGAGCTGTTAATAATTTGTTAATAGTCTGAGCATTCATCTCGACTAGAGGTTGCCCGCTTGGACTTGCTTCATTGATTTCGGAGAGAGCAGCTACAGCATTTGCAACAACCTAAATACAATTATATAGGAAGATAAATATATGCGTATTTCATATTAATACGTAACTTGAGACATTTATTTACCATGGGATTACTGTCTGACAAAAGATCTTTCAATTGATCCAAAAATCCCTGATCCTCGACTAAAGCTGCATTAATATCATAAAGCTTGGCCACGCATACAGCTGCAGTCTTACGAACATATGGGTCCTCATCCTTCAGGCATTTTCGCAGTGGCTCACAGAGGTACTCCGTAATCTTGTCCACGCGTATACATCCCATTGTACGAACTGCTAATGCGCGAATCAGCGGATTTGGGTCCTCGCAATCCTGCGCAAAAATCGGGCAAGCCAGGGATTCAAGTCTAGTCACAGCAGTGACTATCTATCTCAACCCATGAATTTTAACGAAGTAGAAAGTGGTATGGTACCTTTATCATCGGAGATGTCGCTAGCTCCTTTTGCGTGTCAGAACGAAAAAGGTCAAATTGGTCACCGTCACCATTTTGATTAATTGTTAAATATTATACTTATCAACCATTTAATGTTATGTGATGCAGAACTGATCATTTTTTAAAGAGCACGAGATATCTTTTTTCATTTCTATTATAGTTCTTTCGTTTCTCATGATAATTTACAAATGAAAATTAAATTGTAAGTTTCACATTAAATTCAGTATCATGCACATAAAAATATGTTACATGTTATCTATTTAAACATTAATAAATGTACATCTATGCGTTTTTGATAATTGCATTGAGAAATATTAATTTGAACACTGATTACACTTATTAATTAACACTAAAGTTCTGAAAAGAATAAAACACTTTGCGTGCAGATATAGTGTAAATATGCACTGCGTACAAGCAGCAATTTATAATGCAGTCATACATATATGAAATGAACATTTAAGGAATTGGTTTGTTCATGCTGTTTACACATTAGACACTATGATTAGAGAACAAATTTTTTTTTCTGTCATCAAGGTTTTTTTAAACATATTTTTTTAAAGACCAATTGTATCTTTATTTTCAGTAGGTCAGCTGTATCATTATTATACAAATTTCTACAAGCTGCTTTATTGTATGTAATATTTCTGTGACTTGTAGAAAAAGTTCCATGCTTCATTTTTAGAAATAGCACAAAATATACTAGTGCATTAATATTAAAATACTAACACATATATATTATTGAATTTTTTACATATCTTTCGTAATTTTTCCGCTAAGTGTTACAATTGTTATAATTCCATTCCTATTTCTGATGCTGAACTAAACTGGAAAGAGATACTGGAATTTGGTGATAATAATATAATAGAATCACGAGAGATTAATGAAAAAATATGAATGAAGTATTTTATAATCTTAAATGTGAGATAACCTGAAATGCACTTTATTTAGCCAAATTCCAGTCTCGTGCCCTTTGAAAAATAAGCAGTTCATTTAGAGAAAATAAAAGGTACATTCCGTCCCATAACGCAGACAGCTCTGTGCAAACTGATGTAATTTGCAAAGCACGGTCTGTACACGATGTGAGGCAGGCTGTAAAATTAATGTTAAATTTATTTAAAAAAAAATGTATGAAACTTAAGGGAATTTCTATGCAAAACTTTTTCAGCTTGCCTCCTTGCAGACAGAGATTCTTAACGTCATCCAAGTGTCATTAAAATATATAGAGGGTAAAAGTGCATTAATAAAACATGATAAGCATTTATTAAGTTTCTATGTTACATTACCTTAACAAATGTGTTGACAGCCATGATGGCCATGTCTGGTTGACTTTTGGCGTAATTCATCAGGTACAAATACACTAGCTTTTTCAGTTCCAAGTTGTCTGTTTGCATACAGTTGACTACATCAGGGAAGAGCGCTGATACATCTTTACCCACAGTCATGGAAGCGATGACCTAAACATAATTAATATTATACTTAAATAATTGACAGCTGTTGAAATTGCTTTGCGAAACACAAAGATTACAAGAATATCATAAAAATAACAATAATAATAATAACAAGAACAATAATTATCAATTATATAAACTCAGAAAACAATAAATGACATTGTTATGATTAAATAAATTATAAAAATGTAAATGGAATTTGTATTGAGTTTTATGAAACGAAGTTTTAAAATATTAATGTATTAATTAAATCAATTCCCTAGAAAAATATTACAAAACGCACAATAAATAAACAAAGATATTAATAAGATTTTTAGAAGTATTAAATTTTGATTGAAAGCTTCCAATCATCCTTTTGTTTGTGCAGCATGAAACAGATTTATTAACTTGATGTTTATGTAGTTGTAAAGTTAAATAAGTAATAATGATATTACAAATGAAAATTATGATTTCAGGAAGTAAACATGTTAAATTATAAAACATTAAAAAAGAACTTGCAATATTATTTTTATTGCTTACCTTATTTATAAAAATATATCACCTTTTAGCTGCGTTATATTGCTCATTAAATATTAATGACATGCACATATAAAAATGATGAGAATGAAACCATATTAAATATCATGTTATTTTATCTTTAATTTTTGTTAATGAAAAAGCTTTACTAATAAAAATTAAATTACCTTCTTCACAGCTTCTTTCTTTTTCTCTTTCTTCTCATTATTCAATTCTGACTTAAGTTCAAATATTTCACCCTTTTTGGTAGTAGTAAAATACTTTGAATCTGTCATCTTGAATTATTTAAATATTTTACAACTTTGTAAAGTAAGTAATACAGTATATAATCTAAAAAAAGACAATTATATATTGTGGGGTGTAAGAGTGTAGCAAATTAAATAAGGTTTCAATATAGCAAACCATGATTGGATCAATGTTCAACATATATAGTATCATTTTGCTAACTCTAACTAGGATTATGAAATGAACAAAATTTCTGAATTTCTAAGTCAAATGAAAACATCATTTAAGCCTTTATAGATCAAAATTAAGAAAATAAATGATTAGAATGTAATAGAATAATGATATATAGTCAAAGATGCGAATATATACATATTTTTATATTATATTATAAGATTCTGGTTTTAATTCTTGACATTTACTGTAATCTAAACGATAAAACAGTACTGTAATTTAGAAACGTTTAGTTTTGAAATACCTCAATTGTTTGAAACAGTCAACAATTGTAAAAAAAGTTATTAGTTGACAGAACATTGACAGCGTCTGAAGCGAAACGCCCATCAACCATGGACTAAACATTCGCAATGGATCCATACATTCATCCAGTCCATGTTAATAGTTCGTGTCTTCTTAAATGCACATATTCCAATACGTGTAAGTAGCCGTGTAGGGATATCTAGGGTAAAAGTTTACTCTAGAACCTTAAAAGATGTGTGATTTAGTTTGACAACTCGGTGTTCATATAACGGTGTCCACGCGGCGGTTAATAAAACCAAAACACAGCTTAAGATACGATTAAGCGCTTATTTACTTACAGACGTTGCAGCTTATGGGAATTATTATCTAGAGCAGAGGTGTTTAACTTGTTCCCCTTACGGTAGTAAAGTATTTAGACACTCTGTTTTCGAAACACCTTGTATGTTAAATTTGTGATCCAATATTTTTGATTCTAATTCCTATCACTTATAGTGCTGTTATACAAAACTAGCCTAAATCGATATAACAGGGCGTGACACAAAAATGGTAAGGGGTTCTGTGATTCCCGAGAGCATGTAAAAATTTTACATTGGTTATTATGTCTATCCTTATATCTTGTCTGTGCCAAAACTAACATCAAATTTATTGAAATGAAATTATAAATTAAAATATGTTCGAAGTAGATTGATGTCTATTAAAACAAAATTAAATTAATTAAAATTAGTCTAAAGAAACGTATACTTTAGTATTTATTATTTAAAAATGTTTATTTGTATTATTATTTAAATTTTGTAACGATATTAACAGGGTACGAAATAAACTGTGATAAAATATAATTTATCCACATTATTTTTTTACGTAATCTGGTCTCAATGAAAAAAAGTTCACTTAACAAGCATAAGAAATTAGTAACATATTTCGCAGAAAAAGTTAAAACACTACAAATGTATGACTAATTTTAACAAATAATCAATAATATACAAGATCTCTTTTAATTTCAGTTTTACTGATAAGCGTAGCAGAATTATCGAACAAATATTACAAGATTATTTGACGAGAAAACATATCATTTTTGTTCGCGTTTCGTATTCATAACAAGCGAGATCGCGACTTATTTGACTAAGCTTGTAATTAAATTAAAGTGACAATATAATATTAATTCGCAGATTATTCATTTAACGTTTCAACACATTTTACGCACAATTTATAATATATTCATTTAAAATTAAAAACGTAATAAACAAAATAAAAAAGAATTTTAACATTTAGTTGAGTATGTAGTGATCTTTCATCTTCCAGCTGAAATAATACGGATTTAACATAATTATATAATTACAATATACATTTATATAATAATGCTATATCAAAGATATGAGTACATCACATTCAATTTATGATACTGTTCTCAGTTCAACGACCGCTGGTTTCAAAATATTTAAAGCAAAATTATTGCAGTCTATGATACGTACTATTAGACTATAAAATAGTATGTAACAAAATTAAAATCTGTTTTAATCTATCAGTCACTTGCACATTTTAAATTAGAGGCATAATCAAGCTATTGTAAGCACGCTTGAACTTTTTCGATCCATTCCTGCGCAGTTGCTGCATCACCAGCGCAAAAATTATATGTCCGTCTGTTTGTACGAAGCTGCAAATAGAATTATCGATTAAGTTCTGTTTTATAATTAAACAGTATAGCAATAGAAAAATTGATTTGATGTTTACATCAAAGAATGATTTATCGTCTGTTTTCTTTGGTGGCCCTGGCATTGGCGCAGCTGGTGTCACAGACACTACTTCAGCTAGATCTGTAAAACAAATAAAATCATTTTCAAATACTTATAAATCGTTGATTGTTTAATAATTACGTCCCATGCTTTTATATATTTTTTGCATACCTATGTATCCTTTACAATGAGAATCTTCCATTGCATCGTAATATCTCAACTGGTGCTTTATAGAATCTAACACAAACCATCTCTGTTTCCAACCTTTAAGCAATGCACCTCGCTTGTAAAGATATCCTTCGTGTGTTCTATTTTCTGCAACATTGCTAGAGAACTGCTCGTAATATTGTTGTGAAGAAGTTTGTATCGTTGCTACACCTATAGATTATTTATTTATAAATTATTTGCTCTATAAAATCTAGCATGCATAACATATTACTGTATCAGTAACGTAGTACTCGTACTTGAATTTACGCTCCCGTTATCACCACCGCTTCTTGTGAGTGTATGCGTTTGTAAATTGTCAGTTACTGCTTTATATTTTGTGCAATTTTTTGGTACTGCATCAGCACATTTATCATGACACACATGTCCGCAGTCTACACATCGTAAACCAGCTTTTACAGGTCCCCATAAAACACCGTAGCAAGCATCACAATGAGTTGGCGTGGCTGAATCTAATCTTTCGAATCTATAGAAATATAACAATTGTTTCATCTATTGTTGTCTGTCCCTTTAGTAAACAGAATTACTATTTGTTTTGGTAAGGCGGTACACGAGACGGCACAGAGGCAGAAGGGGTCGTTTGCCGTGTCATTTACTAGACCCATAAATGCGTGAGACAATAGGCGAGCCTCGCAACTAGCAGTACATTGTAAGTGAATAATTACCTATGAGGATGTGCGTAAACGGAACCATCATTTCCAGAATTAGTTCCACCAGCAAGTTTTCCTCGGAGAAGTAGTTCTAAGGTAGAACGTTTATGGATTAATCGTCCATGATATCTAACTAATGTAGTGCTAAACGACGCATGACGCTGTATTAAAGAAAAAGGAAAATACTTTACATTAAATACAAATATTTATTATTTCAAGAACTTATTATAGATTACTGACAGCCAGTGAGTCTGTATTTGGCAGTTCAAGTTTATCCCAAAGAACCTTCCATTTTTGTGGTAAATGACCTAACTCGGTTTCTAGTTTATGAATTTCTTCTAAAAGATAGGAAAATTGATCGGGTATCATAGTGCTTGTACCATCGTAACTGAAATATCCATTAATGTTAATGTAATAATGGTGTGATCTAAGTACATTTAAACTTACCCTTGTGTAACTACTTTACGGTTACTCTTGACAACGCCATCAGCAGCTTCTGCCTCTTCTTCTTGCTGTGAATCTTGTTGCAACACTTCTAAGTCGTATGCGGGTCCGTGAGCCAATTCTTCTTCTAAATAGTACTGCCAGATATCAAGGCTCGGTAAGTGTGAAACAGGTCTTAATACCGTGTGCTCCGTATTAGGCGTATACATAAAATTATAAAACAATGGACATCGTGCATGTTGTTTCTCAATGTAATCAAATATGCTTTGACCAAGATTACATCCTGTATTTGTCCCTGCTAATCTGCCACCTGGATAAATGGTTTCATCGTCACTTCCTGTATCCACTCCTTTATGATGACTTGTCAATGACCCTCTTTTATCTTCTACGGCAGTGATTCCGCATTCCACTCTATCGAATTCACAGTCCAACAAAAATGTACGAAAACGACAAGAAACGGAATGGTAGGCCAAAAACTTCAAATAATATTCGTTAAATTCGAATGCTAATGGAAATTGCTTTTGGATTTGATGCACTATATCAAGAAATTGAAGGAAAGTGGGCGTAAAGTTTGTGGTTTGGGAATTCGCTGCAAGATTGCTTCTGTGTCCAAATCTGTGGCCGAATCCAAGCCACTCTTTCTCAATCAAAGTTCGAAATCCATCGATAGTTCTGTAATGTGGGTCCAGACACACTTGAGCAACAGAACAGACTGTGGTTGTAGTATCCCAACCCTGTTCCAGACAAACGGCTACCGACGAGCCTTGCACGTCCATTAAATCAATAACAGCTCCAGATAACTGCATTAAATTTTGAAGTTGCTGTAACCATTCCGAGGTTTCAATTAACCTGAAATCATAAATTCGTTGAAATTATTATTTGCTAAATACTGTCCTCTATAATAGAAATTAATAATGATAGGAAATTATATTCCGTTCTAATAAAATATACGTACTTATAAAAACTTTGTTCGGGTTCTATATTTAGAGAACTAGGAATACAAGCTCGCATGAGTTTTTTAAATGCGGCTTTAGTATGTCTCGCGTCATAATATTCCACTGGAATAAAGTCTGTTTTCGGTGCTGATTCTGTTTTAACGCCCTTGAACATCAATAGAACACAATTATAAAAAGATAACATCATTTAATATTTCAAAGTAGAATATCTCACTTTCATATGCGCTTTTTCACCAAGAATATATAATGCAGCCCGTTGGAATGTATGAACACATTCTGTACCACTATCCGAATCTGCAGAATGTCTCACAGTACCACGCTGATGAACTGACGTTAAAGAGGCTTGCGAATTATGTCTCTTATCTTTCAACGAACCCCAACGTCCAAAATTCTTGGGACCTTTACCACCTGATGAACTGTAAAATATATAGGATACGTATTATTTAAATGTATCCTCTTTCATATCATACGTGTATACGAACCAGATGTATACCTCAATGTTCCAATGGCCTTATTAAATGGATTTCGTCGTGATTGTTCAGGAGTAGCATTACGATCTTCAGCTGCTAGTAACAAAGAATCAATGCTGAGTGAACTATCGGACATTCCCCAAGCAGAACCTTGTCTTAAGGCGGATAATGGAGTTGCAGCTACAAGAGCCATTATATATTTTTCTTGTTCCAAGGATGACGTTGTTTCTGAAGATGTTGCTGTCAAAGAAAAAAAAATATTGTTAGTACTGTAACAAAATAGAAACCTGTAAAACAATTTCCTAATGTCATACCTTTTAAATTGGCAGCAGATGCTGGATGAGCTTTTAACATACCAATAACACCCTTTCCATGATAACCTGCTCCTCTAATAAGAAGTGCCTTTGTTCTTGGGTGCCTCCAGGTAACAACTGGAATTCTATTGTGTCTATAAAGTCGACAAAATCTCCGGATACCTTCATCTGATATTGATGAAGGAACTATAAGGAGTGCGGGATAACTTCTACAAATCATGTAGGCACAGTTCACTGACGACAACCGAAACGGTTCGTTCCTACGATTGCTATGTAGGCCGTTTGAATATAATCCTAAACGATACCAATCCCTTACGTAACTACGTTCAGATAATCGTTCTAAGGTTTTTGCATCGGTTGGTGGTTGTGGTTGAATTACAATTCCCGGAATTTCGAAGTCATCTACTATAAAAATTTCGTGTATAAATAACTCTTGAGATATTAAAACAATTTATCGATAGAAATTTCATTTCGAACTCACCACTAAGATCGTCATCATGACTTAAATCATTATTATCTGTCACTGGTAAACTCATTCGACCAGGCGATGTCATAAATTTGTTATTGGTAATCATATTCATATTCGGTAAAACATACTTTTGTCTTTTAGATGATTGCTTTGGCTTAAAACCGGCCTTACGCGCAGTCTTTAGTAGAGTCTTTTTAGCAAATCCTCTGAGAAAGAAGATGATAGTTACGCATAACGGTAAACAAGTTATAGATGCATAACGAGAAATAAAAGTTGACTTACTTAAGAGTAGCATTTTTTTCTTTTCCTTTATGATGCGCAGTTTGAGTCACTAATACCTGCCCGTTGAAAGCAAAGTGATGAAAAATATGTGGTGGATATCGAGCTTTGTGAACTAATTTTCTGAAGGTTTCGATATTCTCAGGAGTAACTTCTTCGTCAAAAGCTAATTTGATTAACTGGAAAGTACAAGACCGTAGCTGAAGACCTTCTTGCAAACACTGGTCTAAATGCGCCAAGTGTTGTACAGCGACTCGTTTTTCCTTAGTCAAGGATGTTACAGGAAAAGCGCGAACTACTAATTGTTCACAGGCAAATGGATCACAAGGTATTCCTTTAAAGACAATTCTGTAATTAGTAAGGAATATTGCTCCCTCTGCTGGCAAGAGTGGCGGTATCTTTGGCAATCCTGCTGGGCTTTCTTCTCTCCCATCCGGTAAAAGGTAAACGCGTAGTCCATCCATGATAATTTCCTCACCAGGCAACATATTAGGTGTTAAGATCTTAGGCTTTTGTATTGGAGGTAATCTCTTACTTTCTCTATGTACAGCCTCAAGAGTTTCAATATGCATGTGAACAACGCCGGGAACCATTTGATGTAGACATTTCACGTGCTCGGCACTTACACCTCCTTCGGTACAAACACGATCTACGAATCGTGAAACCATTCGAATAACAGCACAACCAGTTTCCCCAGGATCAGTTTCTTCGAATCCGGACTCTGCGTCGCCGCTGTCACTTGCCACACTGTTCGTAATACTATTACTTGCTCTTTCGTCGTCATAAATGTTATCTTGGCGATGAGTTTTCGCTCCTATGTCTAATGGAACTAATAAATACACCATTCTATTCGCATAATGAATTGCCTGACTGTACATGGTACTTTCTTCACTCGCGATAAGTTCTTTTTGTTTCTCCGGATCAATCGTCGGCCAAATCCTCATTTGTTCAGCGGCTATTTCAAGAGCCGACGGTTCTTGAATTTGATAGATAGAGTAGCGATCACGGAAAGGAAATTCTTTAGCATCTCGTGGGCTGATTGGACTCAAGATACCATCATTCATGAGCCGTGGCGGAGAATTTTCTCCAGGAAGATATAATCGTTTAATATCTTTTTGAACATCCAAGTAAAACGCATCTTCCCAAAATTGTTGATTTTGCCATACAGGGTGTTCTTGAATGCAAGTATATGCAAACTGGATTACTCCTGTACAAAGTTTCCGGCAAAATGCTGTTGCAAGAGGAAGGAGTGCAGCAGCAACACCGTGTTCATCCATGGATGAATCATCTTGCAACGCGCAATTCATTAATCGGACCACAAGATCAAATTGTTGGTGTTCTAACATCGCTTTGTTTCCGACAACGTGCTGTGATAGTTCCATGCAAAGTGCTAATCGAGCGGCTTTGCTCTTCAACGTTCTTAGTACAGCCGGGAAAGTTTTCCGAGCGTCTGATATTTTATTTTCAAATATACAATTTATACAGTTGCGAAGAACTTCGAGTCTACGTGCAGAATTGCTAACCAAGTGTCTGGTGTCATGAACAAATGAAATATGTGGACCCATAGGTACAATACGCGGTTGTGACGGCCTTAAGGATGATAATCTATACACAATTAAAAGTTAAACATTTTAATATTTAAAAGTAACAGTACATGTATCAACAATGCGTGATACAAACCTAACTTTGAGATTATTTTTGGCAAGACCTTCATCTATAATTGCCTGAACTTGCTCTGGATTGATGCGTGGCAAAAGTGGTTGATGTATTCTAGCAAATGCTCCTTCAGGTGGTTTCAAAATTTTTTGTACATATGGCTGAGGATTTGGATTTTCGTTTGTGTATAATTGTTGTGCTAATTCTTGAATATGCGTTAATATAAGTCCTAGTAATAACATACGTTAGAAGTATCATTTATAAATTTATATAATAGTAGATGTATATGACATGTTCATTAATTTAACATTAATACCAGTGTTGCTAATTACAATAGTATTATTGCTTACTATGGTCTTGTGCTTCTTGCTTCAATTGATCACTCAAATTGCTGTACAGTTCATCCCACACATCACAAGCTCTCCACGGTGGTCCCCTTTCTGCAATAAAGGAAGTAAAAAACATGCAATCCAAAACTCTAGTTGTAAAATCGCAATCAGTTAAGCCTCGTTCTCCTAAGAAAGCTGCCTAAAAATGAAAAAAATATAACTTTTATTAAAGCATAATCTTTATATATCATTGAAAAGCGAAAATGACCAATAATAAAAACCTTGTGAAATGTTATAACAGGCTTAGGATGAATTCTTATTAATGTCAGACAGCTTCTGTAGCCTTGTAATAATTGAGCAAATGTTCTCATAAAAACTGCTCTTAATTCTTTGTCTAACATAGGAGAATGAGGAGCTCTTGTTGCAAGTGGTGGAAAGGCATAATCTGCACAAATCAATTCTGGCTGCAATACTAAAGATAATGCATCCTGTGTCTGTGAAAGAAGTGGTTCTGGAAGTAATGGAAGTGAAACTCCATCTGGAACCATGATAGAACCTCCGTCTAAGTCAGCAACTATCACATCCATCTACAAAAAGATATAACAATTGTAACAATATAATTATCGTATAATAGAAAGCTATGTTAGGAATGTATAAAGTACATCTTACAAGTTCCGCAACTTCATGTTTTAATGAACTATGTACACCCATGATGAATGGTGTAGGTGTACTTAGTACTTCAACTAAAGCCGCTGGTAAAAGAGGAATGTAAACGTGAGTGTATCTAAATGGATACATTAGTGCGGTAAGAGCACGACATCCTTCAGTTAACCGCGAATAACTTGCAGAATGGAAAAGAATTTTATGTTCTGTCATAACAGCGCAAAATAATACTAATACGCTACGAATACCTGTACAATAAAATATCATTAATACGAAATCATAACAACTCCAATTACATATTAAAATTAAATTTTTACCTAATTGTTGAAATAAAAGATTTACACTAGTGTGAGTTAACGGAAGAGAAGGACTAATCGGAGGTTGAAGTGCTTGACGGTCACCCGCGCCAATGCTGAATCGTACTTGTGGTCCACCAGCAGGTGGTACTTGTATACAACCTAATATATTCCCTACCAAAGTTTCTAATGGTATACCAAGATTTTCTACATACACAGTGTATATTATACCAAGGCAATTCTGAAACAGGAACATCAAACTATACATGTGCAGTACGAAAGAAGTTTAACATGAACAAAATTTTACATACTCTAAAAGTTTCAATGTAATCAAGTCTGGAAACCAGCACCAGACATTTGGGTGCATACATAATGCTGTGATGTGCAATTGCGGGTATTGTTCTAACCAATGAACGACTATCACCATCTACTGGATCTTCTTCTTCATCTACGGGCTTACTTGGCACAATCGACACTGTCTCGTTAAAGCACATACAAGCACAGTAATGACGATTTGCATCAATATCGGTTAAAATAGATACAAAAAAACGTGGTTCCTGCCTTTCTGTAGATAAAGCCCATCCTTGTGGCTGGCAAAACTATAAAAGAAGTGCATAAGTAAATACAAAAAAATATTGCTTTGAAAACATGTAATCCTACCCATTCTATTCCATCAATGAATGGTGTATCTGGCCAATCTTTTTCAGGAAATCTTTGTAGAATAATTCCATTACTTATTCCTCCTCCTGTAATAAAACAAACAAATACATATAAAATATACAAACATTAACAATATATATATATATATATATAATATAAATAACATTAATTACTTTTTTACTATAAGATAAACAAGCAATATACAAATAAAAAGTAATAAAGAAATATCAAACATTGACACGCAAATGTGTAAAAAATTGAATGTTGATGCATTTTTAGAAGATCACTTAAATATTGTACATTTAATTAAGGGACTATTAAAAAGTTGCTGTACGAGTTACACTTTACTCTATTAATTATTGTCATATACTAAATGTTTATCAAGGATGTACATTGAAAACACTGGCGTAATTTTAGAACGCGACCGTTGCAACAAATTAAGAACTTACTCTCTTTTTCGTGGTCGTAGCCGACCACAACAAAGTAGTCGGCTAACCGAGACATTTCGGTGTACTCGTGGGACTGCGTGGGGGTGATAGCGCCCAACATCCCACGTAGACTTTAATACACGTGATTTCATGGACCGTATCCTACCAAGCAATGATCAACTACCTTGTGTCAACGTTTCACATAAACACTCATCGATATGTAAATTAATCGACGTGTATCATCAACATTTTGCGATCTTCGTGCTTTCATTAATCAGTGAAGAAATTTCTGTGAGAAGCGTAGAAAACGTAAACGTAACATCACTGTAAATACGTTAAAAAAATTTGATATTCCCCGAAGAACAATTTTTTAGGAGGTGGTCGAAATCTCAGAGGCTCTTCGCGCACCGTTCAAAGGTAATCCTTCGCATTGGTCACATTCACAAAACGAATTCACCCCTCGTTAGAAACCCACGATATTCTATTTATTTTATAAATCACAATATGATGCCACACCCCGAAGCTTTAATCCATAACCTTCCAAACTCAAGCGCCACATTGGGTGTTTGTTGAACCGCGTATGAACCAAAACGCGCCACGGATATACAAACGAGGAGACGAACGCGCTATAATTCGCATTTAATTTTACTTTTTTTCGTCTTCTGCTCGGGTCACTGAGACTACCCTAAATCTGAAAACATACGCATTATTATAGATAGTTGTTCCTATGCAGCTTTATAGCCTGTTCATAGTGAAGCCATTGCATAACAGGTGCAGGTGCAATGATTCACATGTGCCTAGGTACCTACCTAGGTACTTATATGCAGTAATGTCCGCTTAAATTTCATTAAATTCGAGAGTCAGTCGTAAAATTTTCACGTCCAATGTAGTGTATTTTTTCCAAAAATTAACTCGAGCACGGTTTGACAAAACGAGGAAATAGACATAACGAGCGGAAACGAGGTAGGCGCAGCAACTAAAAAGACATAAACATGCAATAATGAAAATTTCATTTTTAATCATTTTCACCTTATTTTTATAAATGTAGCACCAGCGGATTGTTGGTATTTTTCTGATTAAAATGAGTTCAAATACGACGAAAATTGGATTAGTTTTATCGATTTGGAACATTCATATGTTTAATTTTATTTGTATTAAACCAATAAAATTGGTTCGAGTTACATCTTGTTTGGGTTTGTTGTAATCGGAAAAATCTCAACTATCCATTGGTGCCTGCAATTATACAAGTAGGATTAAAATTAGTGAAAACGAAATTTTGTTTAGTGAATGTTTACTTTTCTCAATCGCTGCATCTTATTGATGTGTGAGTGTTTCCCTTCTTTTCATTGTATTCATTCCCTATTCTTACCTACCGAGATTTGAGAGTGATGAAAGAAGAGTAGGGATGAGTCTGGGAAATTTAACTGTATAGATTTTAGTCAAATTTAAGTGGGCATCAAGTAAGTATTTACCATCAACATGTGCTACTATTATTTAATTTAAAATTAAAGCTAGACGTCGTACTATGATAATGCATTTAGTAATTAAGTGGTCATCTGATGGGACTACTTTGCACCGGGCGAGATTGTAATTTGTAACAAGCTTCAGCAAAAGTCTTTTTTTAATTAATTAATTATTATATAATCAAAATATAAAAGAAGAACAAATTACAAATTAAAAAATCCCTATCTTTCAATACATACTGTACAGTTGTTTTATATAGCAGAATAAGTCATACAACTTTTATTGTTCCAATCTTAACTCGAATACGTTATACATATACGTAAAATATATTATATATATTCCATAGATTTTAAATACATGTGTCACATATATAAAATTAAATATTTTTATATTAAATTTGATAAAACATTGATTTTTGAGTTCTAATTTGCCTGTACTGAAAATGACTATCAGTTTTAAGTTTTTGTTTGATTATGCGCTCAGTGTTAATACTAAAATGTTTTAATACAATTGTATAAAAAAAAAAATAATATTAACTTAACTTTTATTATCCGTAGTATGTATAATACTTTAACGTAGAAAAGTCCTCCGCAACTTTAATGTTGAATACATTTCGATTTATATGCGAATAAACATTATGAAACTGTAGTTGACCATAACTATACTCAAGTAATACCTAACCTTACCAATAGTTATCACGTGGAAGGAATTGAATTCATTGATATCAAAAAACGGGTGAACAATAAAGAGTGGTGGATATTTCAAAATTGTTCTGATACAAGTATGAATATTTATTTTCAATTTATTTCTCAGTAATAAAATTTTTTGAAAGTATGTCAAGAAATATATATTTACATTCGTAATGTGAACATAATGATGAATAAAAATGTGTAAATTTCAGAAAATCAAAATGAGTTCTGATAATATGAGTGTCTCTGAAATATTTCTTGAAACTGCTGCGGACGCAAAAGTCGGATTTATTGCAGCAGCAATAATAGGTTACTGTTTATATAGAATGATGACAATAAAGAATAGAACATTGAAAGATTTTGAGGGAGCGAATGAAACTACAAATGACATAGTAAGGAATATTAAAATAATATAAAAATTCGTATAATAAATGAAATAATGTTATTTTTTCTTTTAAATAGGTGTTCACAGATGAGTATGATAATTACAAACTCATCTTAGTAATCAGAACAGACTTAAAAATGGGAAAAGGAAAAGTTGCTGCACAATGCGCTCATGCTGCAGTTGCAGCATATAAAGCTGCTACAAAACATCCTAAAATTTTACAAGCTTGGGAAGAATCTGGACAAGCAAAAATTACTGTTAAAGTATGCACATTTTCATCTTATGCAATATAATAAAATTCATATAATTTACCTTGAGTTTTTAACATTATGCAAGAAACTTATTTAAACAAATTTATAGGTGGACAGTGAAGATGCTTTAACACAAGTAGCAAAACAAGCAAAAGCTATAGGAGTCTTAGCAAGTGTAATACGAGATGCTGGTCATACTCAAGTTGCACCTGGAAGTAAAACTGTATGTGCAATTGGACCAGGTCCAGCTCCACTAATAGATCAAGTGACTGGACATTTAAAATTGTTTTAATAAAGTGCCAAATAAAGGTATTCATTTCATATTTGTGTTTTATATTTTTATAGCAACTTTTTAATCTATCGTTTTAAGATTTACTGCATTTACAAACAATAAAACGTTTATCACATTCTCAACATAACACGAATGGAAACACATTGTTTTGAAAAAGGAACATAGTATTAAAAAAATGACAATATATTTATAAAAAAAAATGGAAAAATACAACTTACTGAAAATACATTCTACAATTTTCAATTCATTCGATTCATTCATTTTCAGTCTGCAATGCATACTTTTCATTTAGTAATCTCATTTTCCACGTAGAACATATGTACTTGCATTATTCAATTTCAACACAATATTATCTTACATTTCATCTTAATAATAATATAATACATTTTTGCATTAACAAATATAGGTATAGCATTGGGTGCTGTTGAAAACAGTCCATTCTTAACATATTCAATTTCATTATCAGTGTAAGTAGAAGTAATTAATATCATGTTGAAAAATATTGTCATGTAAAAGAATTGTGCGAATAGAACCATATTGTTATAAAGTAAGCAATTACCATGAATTATTACCAACTCTGATCACAACACATTGAAAATTTGTTTCCAATAAAATCTCTTCCATTCTTTGGTACCCAGTACTATTATCCACATAAAATATCATTTAATACTTATAAATATTATATAAATAATCTATACTGGAGGTGGAGGCGCTTTGCGATGGATTTTGTTAGAGCTAGTAGCACTGCATTGTGATTCAGCAATAGATCTACCATCAGCCTCGTCCCTTCTACATAATTCAGATTGAGTTTGTAGCCAATTTTGACTCTGATTATGATTTGTTCTCGTTGATTGAGGTTCTTCATTCTCAGGAACAGAACCCACTTCTTCTAATAATTTTGATAAAGATGGTGCTAATCCTAATCCTAAATTTCGCTCATGATATACCTCCGAAATTGTAGGCGTTAATTCACGCGTAAGACTTGTAAGAGATGTGGCTACGTTCCTCAAATTTTGATTATGCGTTTCTGCAGATTGTGTAGCATCGGACTGAGAACAAATATCTTCAGTTGTTGTAGGGTGACGAGGTTTCCTTGGGGAATTAGTTCCAATTTCTGTTCTAACGCTTAATCTCTCTAAGATAGTTGCTGGTAAAGGTGGCAATGGTTGTCTTCTTAAGACAGTCGCATGACCACTATCCCAATCTGTTACAGAACTACTTGAACTAGATCCAGGTCTTATACTTTGATCAGGATAAAGATTTCTAATATGTGTCTGGTGATTTAAATTGAGTGCTACCGGAGGACTGGGCGTAAAAGCAACATCGGATTCACCTATAAAACATATACATTTTTAATTTATGTTTCTAAATTATATATATGAATGTATTTGAAAAGAATTGAGTTATACCTCCACCATTTTGACAAGGCTGACGAGATGTAGGAATGGGAACATTTGGTGGTTCCATAGTTTTTCCATCTGGTTCACCTCGATGCCGAACATAATTCGCAAATGCACCTCCTAACCGTGGTCGTTCTATAACATTTTTCTCGGTATGAGCAACAGAGGCTAGGCTTTCCATGGAACTACTGGAGTCCAAGCTCAAACTCTTAGGTGCTTCTTGTGTATCTGATGACATATTTACAAATTAGTATATATTATTTTACTAATATTGTTATTTTTATTTTTATAATTAATAATATAAATTCACCAAATAAGGCAAGAAGAGCTTGAAGGGCGAATTGAACAGCTCTTCGCGATGCTTGCTTTCCTGTTCTTAATATCACTTCTGACTGACCAACTTCCATAAGATCAAAACCTAAACTCGCAAATAATTCATGAGACCCCGAAACTCTCCACACTTGAACGGGTAATGTAACTTCTTGACCTTCCGTTGCGCAACTAGCTCTTCTCATTGCTGCAATGACATCTTCTGCAGCTTCGGGTGCCTAGTAAATAAAAGGATTACTTTTGGTCTAATACATTATGATACTTACACTGTGCCGAGTAAACTTTTATTACTTACTTGCAACAACCTAGCAAGTGCATGTAAAGACGATGGTCCCAATCCAAGTAATGCTTGCAGGCTGGCACTACATCTTGTTAATCTCTCTTCAGGATCACTTTGCGGGAAAAATACAGAGGACGGTATCCCGTTTCCAGCTGGCTCAAATCTGAATCCTACTGACATTAATAGTTCTCGCCACCCGGTGGCTGCACCCACTTTATTCTCAATACTACGCTGAGTTGTATACATAGCATTTTTCTGTCCCCGATGTATTCGTTGCAATGATTTTTCTACTAAATGAAGCGTTACACGTAAAGCATCACGACTTTGTTCAGGACCACCACGCAATAATTCAGCAAGTGCCTGTCCCATTAGAGCGACCTAAACGATAAATTATTTATAAATAATCATGCGAATATAAATATTTCAATTACATCAAATAGAGATCTTTTACTTTGTTTGATAATCTCGCGTCTCCACCAACAAGTAGCCAACCAGCCCAATTTGCGGGATGAGCGAAATGTCTTGTATGTTGAACTGTTTGCATTGCCTCTGCTAATGCTCTTGATGCTCTAGCACCTTGCAACATAGCACTATAAAAAGCTCGCAATAAAATACTGCCAGCCGTGGGCGGTACGGCCCACATTCCAATAAGTACACATTGTGCTCCTGCATTTAACAAAGCCTTAGCTAAATTTTGTACACCGTCTGCTGTAGCGGTTGTATTGTCTGTATTATTCCAACAATGTCCGCTGGATATTACGACCAATCGTGCAGCTATTCTCAATTTTGCGATATCCGTATAACTTAATAAATATTCTGGTCTTTCAGAGGCTTCTTCGCATTGATCGGCAGTTAATACTAAACTACTGGAGTTCCAGAAGACTGGTACTGTTAAGTGTACACACTCTGCATCGGGTAATGATCGTAACACAGCTGATCTAGTTGCTTCTGCCCCTGTTAATGTAGACAAAGAATGTATCTATTTTATAATTTATTTTAATGGAAATTCGCACTTGTTTATACTACTGAGTATTTCAAAATAACAAATAAAAGTAACATGAAAGTATTAAACTTTACTGAACTTATTCATTTCTTGTGTCTCACTTTTTGGAATATATTAAAATCGCATGAAATCTGCAGGTTCGTTATTAGTAAATACCTAGTTCATTAGTTTTCTATAATATACTAGTGCTTATTTACCAGTTAATGCACGGGCTTCCAATAGTTCAGCAACAATCTCAGATTCCGTTTCGGTAGCAGATACGGTTTCAGACCACCCATATTCTTCTCTAAGTTCTTCAGAAAGTATAGGATTACCTGCAACTAATGCGGCTACTGTTGCGCCACCTTCTGGCATAGGTGTTTTTGAGCGTTTCCTCAAAGCTGCAAGAGACGGTACGACTAATAAAGAAAACCTTTCACACAAATAATCTTCTCCAGGATTTGATTGTAATGCCGGAAGTGGTGCCAAATACAGTGATTTCTCCACTACCATTATCAATTCCTTCCTTGCAGGTGGTAAAAGATCTTCGAATGGAGTCAGCAGTAAATCGTAAAGTACTTGAATCGGCAGTGGTGGTTGCCACGTAGGACCTTTCGTGCCTCGTCCCCATCGAGCACTTCCTGCTCGAGAACTGACTGAGCCTACACTGAACAGACTACTTAAACTATAAGAGCTGGCGTTAAGATGATGACCCCGTGACGGTATTTTTGTTTCTTCAACAAGTTCACTTGTTTCATCTAAGAGAGCTTCTCGTGCCTGTAAAACTCGTTTTTCCAAACCTATGCCATCATCCAAAGTGGTAGAATGAAATCGCAACAATCCTCGACCAGGAGCTAAGCACCAAGCATGTAATTCGCACCCTACTTCACTGAAAAATATCATATTTACTGATAGTTTTTAAAAAGTCCTAATTATTATCATACGTATATTGTTAAATGTAAAATACCTATAATACAATATAACTCCACGTTGCCTATCAATGATTTCTGAATAATGCGCAGCGTCGTCCAAACAATTAGTTTTGGAACGTCTTGATCTCTCTGCCCAATTTAGAGCTTCTTCAGCTCTGTTCAAACTGATCAACACTTTCTGTAACATTCTATAGGTTTCTGATAATAATTCAGATTTGTTTGGTTGTCCACAAGTAAGAACAGAAGAGGTTCCATCTAATGATTCCAATAAATTTGCAGCTTTTTCTAAATGTTCTACGGCAATAGTTGCTTCACTGGCTTCCCAATGAACAAGACCCAGTCTATGTCTTAATCTGGCTGCTTCCTCTCTTCTGCCTAATCCTTCAGATAATGACAGCCCAGACTGTAGGTAACTCAAAGCTCGAGATAAATCACCACACAAATGATGAAGACGTCCTAAGCTGGAAAATGCTGCTGCTCTTGCTGGTTGGTCTCCAGCTGCTGCTGCAAGACTTAGTGACTGTTCTTGCAATCTTATGGCTTCTTCAAATTGTCCTAATGCCTCTTGAGTTACACCCAAATTTGCACAAGCTCTAGCTTGTAATCCAGCTGCATCTAAACCCTCCGCAATCGATAATTCTAATTGGTGATGACGCAATGCAGAATTTGGATCATCCATTAATAAATGAACCGCTCCTAATCCACTGGCAGCTTCTGCTTCAGCAGCTTTATCTCCGAGTCCTCTAGCAAGAGCAAGCTGATGTGACAAACAACTAACAGCTTGTTCATGATTACCTAATGCAGCGTGTACTCTGCCTATAATATTAATTTCAGTTAACTCGTAAAATTCATAAACAATTAATGTATTCATAAAATAGCGGGCTATATAGTTTACCTAAATCTCCATAAGCGGCACCTCTCGACTCTGGACTGTCAACTTCGTGTGCAGCCACCAATCTCTTTTCAAAACAAACTAATGCTTCAGGTAGATTTCCAGTTGCTTCTCGAGCTCTTCCTAATCCTCGATATGCTCTTTCCTGTTCTCTTATACTTTTCAACTTTGTAGCAGCCGCTAATTGTTGCTCGTGACACTTAATGGCTTCTTCTGGATCTCCTAATGCTTCGTAACAATCGCCTAAATTTCCAAGAGCTCTGGCTTTGTCTAATAATGCTGTGCCCGTTGTTAATGGTTCTAAAGTTGCTAGTTGTTGTTCAAAGTATCCAATTGCATCTTCATAATGTGCCATATTAAGTCTAGCTATTCCTAAGTTTCCTATTAAAAACGAATAATAAAACATGTACATATAAATTTTATAAAATAATAAAACTCTTGCTATCAGAAAAACTTAAGTTTGTACAAGTATTACCTAATGCTTGGGCCTCAACTCCTGAATCAGCTAACTCTTTCGATCTCTCTAGCTGCTCCTGATAACACTTAACTGCATGAGTATATTGACCCAATGCCATATGTACTGCACCTAAGTTTCCATGAGCTCTACATTCGCCACGTAAATCTCCAGCTTCTTGTCTTAAAGTTAATTCTTGAGTATGAAATCCTAGAGCCTTATCAAGATTTTTTATCGTCCGATGAGCTATACCTAATGCTCCGTAAGCTGCAGCTTCTAAACTCCGATCACCGGCTTGACGTGCTAAATTCAATTGACGTTGATGCATTTTTATCGCTTCTTCAGCTTCACCAAGACGCAAAAGACAATCACCAATATTTCCCAACGCTCGAAATTTTCCAGCTAAATGCTTAGTCATATGTGCAATAGCTATATACAAAAATATAATACGTATTTTGAAATTTGTATTGTTGTACTATGTATATAAGTAATATAATTTCTTACCTAAGTAATATTTTTGGCATTCTAGTGCAGTATCTAAATTTTCAAGAGCTAAATGTGCTAATCCTAAATTACAGTATGCTCTTCCCATTCCAGATTTATCCTGTAAATCCTTAGCAAGTGCTAAGTCTTGATCATAATATCTAACAGCTTCACGATGATTACCTAAACAGTAATGAGCGTAACCCAAGAAATGGCATGCTTTTGCTTCTCCTTCAACATCGTGCAGTTCTTGAGATAACATAAGGTAATTTTCATAATACGGGACAGCTTCTTCAAATCTACCCCGAGATGATAAACAGTTGGCAAGATTAAGCAAAGCACACGCTTCACCTGCTGTATCTTTCAATTCCCGTGCTATAGCTAAATGAGCTCTATAATGCCTTAATGCTGCCTCGTGACCTTGTACGGCTTGATATGCTACTGCTAAATTCCCATGTGTACTAGCTTCTGAACTACGGTCATTGACCTATGTTAAAATAGAAAAATTTGTTATGAAATTCAAGTATAGATACATAATTTTCTATTAAATACTTTATATATAATTGACCTCTTTACTTATTGTTAATTCTTGTTTATGATATTTAATAGCCTGTTCATAATATCCTAACGCATTGTAAGCATTTCCGATGTTTCCATATGCTCTGCCCATACCAGCTTTATCTCCCAACGATCTAGCAATTCCTAAGTGAGCTTGATGCAATTTAAGCGCAGCTTCATGTTCACCAAGTAACTGATACACTATACCTAAATTGCTGCATGCTCGTCCTTCAGCTACTTTGTCTTTTGTAGCTAATGCAACGTCTAGTTGTCTCTGGTGCCACAGCTTGGCTTGTGCAAGATCGCCTAAATAAGGATATATTTGAAAGAAATTTTACAATAAGATTCATTTCTTCGCCGGTTTCCTCATTAGTTTTCGTTCCGAATAAGTTTTTCACCTGCACATCTTGCAGCATGACCCAATCCAGCATATGCTCTCATTTCTATTGCTCTATCGCCAAGTTCTTGAGCTATTCTTAGAACATTTTCGTGATAAGCCATTGCTTGACCAAAATTTCTTCTATAGTGGTGAGATGATCCCAAGTTACTAAAAGCTCTTGCTTCCTCTACACGATCTCCTAATCGTCTTGCTATTCTTAAATGCTGGGTGTGACAGTCAACAGCACTTTCGAATTCTCCCATTGCTAAATAAACTGCTCCCACATTACCTATTTCTCGTGCTTCCTGAAGTCGATCTCCCATTTGTTTTACTAACTGTACACATTGCTTATGAGAAGCAAGTGCATTTGGTAAATCACCGATAGCTGTATAAACGTGACCCAGGCTTGTTAAAGCAGAAGCTGCGGCCTGAGTGTCTTTACATTTCATAGCTAAAACCAATTGATACCTATGCGCTGTTAAAGCTTCTTTAAAACTGCCTTTACTAAAATATGCTGAGCCCAAATTTCCATGAGCTCGACATTCACCCTGAGTATCTCCTAAAGACCGTGCCACACCTAAAAACAATATTTACTCACAAGTTAAACAAACATTCTATTACCACAGATCTGTTTTTTATTAAGTGTAAAATTACCATTTACCTAAATCTTGTTGCATGTAATTAATTGCTTTATCCAAAGAATTTAATGCCCAATATGCACTGGATAGAGCCGAAAATACAGAACCTCTTAATTTTAAGCTACAAGAACCAATGGTTAGTGCAGCTTCTAATACACCAGCTGCAGCTTTGTACTGTCCTGCCCCAAGAAGTTCTTGACCAACAACAGAAATAACAACAAAAGGAGATTCATCGAGTTTCATTGCACGTAATTGTTGGAATGTTGGTTCTAATGTTGCGCGTAGTGGAGATTTCAAAGATGCTTCTACCAGACCAGATAATAATTGACAATTGGTAGGATCATGTGCCAGACCAGTACTGAAGGCCACAAGGGCCTCTCCATGCCTTCCTAAACATTGTAATGCTACACCTTGGCGATAGTATGCCTACAGAAAAAAGATGTTTAATCAGTCATTTACAAATACTAAACAAAACCATTAATTATACCTTTGGCCATTGGGGACTGAGTTCAGTAGCTCTGACTGCATCTTGAAGAGCAAGTGCAAACAAACCCATTTTAAGCCGTGCAGCTGACCTATTTGAATACAGCACATGGCTGAGAGGATCCAAAGCAAGAGCTTCAGTATATAAGCTTGCAGCAAGCGCATAATCACCATTTTGACAAGCTGCATTGCTACGACATACTGTCTCTAAGAACAGAGACCTTGATCCAGCAGCCAAAGCCGACGTACCTTCGGGCTCCACCTCAAATTTTCAAGATAAACATTCAGATGGTTATTAATAACAAACAAATCTGTTACTTTACTTTAGTATTTATTCAATTCATACAATTAATTTTGTATGTGTTATAATATTGTTCATTATCGTGTACTTAAATTTCTTAAATAGTTATATTAAATAACATACATCAATTAATTAAATATTTATTAATTAAGAAATGTTACTATAAATTTATGAAAACATTTACTTTATATTTAGTTCAAAAATTTTAATAAGATAATGAATATTGTAACATGTATAAAACATTATTAAACAAAATGTATTAAACACATGTAACAAATAAAATAATTTATTTTGTTTAATAATAAACGAAAAAATAAATACGGGAATCTATACACCTTTTTTAATTGCACGATATAACGATACTAGTACTTGTTAAGACATATAACATACAAGATTGTCTTATTACCTCAGAGATATCCCTATGAGACATTGCTTAAGACGAACAGGTAGCATCCTTCTGCATGAGCATTATCTGCGGCGAGGGAGCTCAATTAGATAAGGCCACACATTTTAGAGTATAAGGCCTTTCTAGGACTTCCCACACCACCTTCGTTTTTCTCACTCACATTTATTCCTCGCGAAATGCTAGTTTCAAATTTTGACGACACTAATGAAGTAGACGTTGACATTAACTACTTCGTCCTAGTAATCAGCGTATTTGCTAGGATGAGTGAATTGGTTCGATTAATAAAAAGGGAGGGAGGAAGGCGTCTTAGGGGGGCACCCACTGCATTCCTCAGGCACAGCCATCTTGGAATGTGACCTCAGGTTCCCCCTTAGGCCCAGAGTGGGGCCGGCACTGTCTACTTCTCTACCCTCCGTATATTGGGCCTTATATGCATGTAGAAACACACAACTTTGTACATCTATATTGGAAGTAGTATACACATATGGAAATAAGGAACTTACATGCACAAAGCAAAACATACAGACATTTAAATGATACATTTTTCTGAAGATTTTATGGAATATTTTTCGCAGTATTACGTGATACACACTGCACTAACTGTGCGGCTATGGAATGGTAATGCGGTGTATTTATCCACTACTTGTAATGGGAATAAGACTGTATACAATATTATGTCAACTTGTTTTTCATACAACAAATCAGTTTTTTTAAACCGAAACTAATGAATATATACTTTATAAATGTTACAAACATATTTTATTGAACAATTATTTACATTTGCAAAAAATAACAAAGTCTTTTATTTTATTCACAGGTATATACAAAAATGTAAATGGCTTTTTGTGTACAGAGTTATGATTATAACTTGATTTCCTGTACTTCTAAGATATAAAATTCACTAATACAAAATGCTTAGAAGTATTCAAAAGGAAATCTATTGACACATAAATAATATAAAATGCTATGATCTGCAAAGGTCTCTGTTACGAACATAATAAAATAGATTTTCTGCATATTCTATAAAACTATGAGGTCTCTGTTTTGAAGGAACTTCTATAAATTTATCTACTTCAATGTCACAGCCACTACAGCAAAATTTTGACATTTAAAGAATTTTGTAATTAATTACGGAATCTGAGCGAAGATTATAATGCTTAAAATACTACATACCTTTTCCACTTTATATGTATATTTAAATAACATTGTATTGTACGTCTCAGTAATATCTGATAGTCATTAACTTTGTACACTCTTTCTCAGTACTTGTTGTACTTTTACTTGAATTCTATTATTGTCTACGTAATAATCATTAAAAATAATTAATAAAAAAATCGGTCTATTTTCCTTCGCTCAGGCAATAAACATTTCTTTATTTTGTACTAAACTGTACACCGCTATTTCTTGGAATAGATGATACACATATATACATAACTTATGTATATCATGTACAAATCTTTATCAAAATATTAACATTTATTCGATCATTCGAATATGTAGGAATGTTTAAGATTTAATAATATATTAAATCAGAAAAAAACTGATGTGACACCAATAAATAAATTTCTAAACAAAATTAAAATGACTGTGATTTAAATTCACATTCAATTTTTCCTGTTATATGAAGTATATATATGAAATAAAAATTTTTCTTAGAAAAATATATATCATGTAAAGAAATTTGTATATAATGCAACTGCAGCTTTCAGTAGTTTAACTGACTGATACCAAAACTCCCTTAGTATAATTCGATATTTTATCTTAATTTTCAATGATTAAAATGTTTAGTGTGATAGTATATTAATATATCACATTCAAAATAAATATATGTTTTTAGAATGTACTGTTATTAATATATTATATAAATATAAAATGTATGTAATTGTGAAAGCTACATTCGCACAAATGCTCTCAAATATATAATTATAAAAATTTAACAACTCTTATGGCCAGAATCGATTGAAAACGTCCGTAATGTACTCGTATATCATAAATGTAATGGCAACATCTAAACATACTCTACTTAATCTTGGAACAGTTCCTTTATAAAATGCTCTTGGACCTTCATTCTTCCATATTTGAATTAAACAATCTACACTATTTTTGTATTTCGAAGCATCTAAACCCTAAAAGATGATTTAAATTTAATAATGTTATCTAATAAGGAAATATCATTATTTTATAATAACTTTAAAGTTTTAATTCTTACCTGCATTCTAGTTTTAACAACGTCAATAGGAGTATTTCCAAAAACTGATACTGCGCCAGCGCATATACCAAATACACCAACCATTGACGTGGGTATAACTACACTTTCATCTCCACCCCTATACCAGTCTTTCATTGTATTCATAACACAAAATCTGAGGGCTTGATTTGACCCTTGTTTTAAGATTGTGGGTGTCAATCCTTGGTATACACCCTTAAATCCTAAATAATAATATTAGTAATAAGTAATATATTATTATTATTATAAAACAATAATATATATAAAACAATTTTGAAACATGTAATTTAGAATTGCACTACTTGCACTTGCATTTTGTATTACTATATATGTGCAATGTATCAGATTACTGCAGAAGTATGTAACAAGACATTATAGAAACCAATGTACTTTAATCGCTGCGTTGTTACATGAGCAAATTAAATGAAACAGAGCAAACGCGTCACATGTGTGGAATATAACTTGACCTCTTTACAAAGATGAATTAGCTAAATTATGCATGCAGTTTATGACAAGTTTAATACTTTTATAGTCAGGACAGTAGGAAAACTAGATTTTTAGTTTTTTTACTTTCTAATATTATACTTCAATACATCAATATTGTGTTAATTTTTACTTTATTTATTTTCAGTTAATATTATAATACTACTCACCATATTCTTTAATAATCATTCTTACTCCATGTAAAAATCCTTTGTATTTTGGATTAGCGGATCGTTGATCATTAATGAATTTTACTTTAATTGTTTCCATGGGAGTAACAGCAAAAACAGCTTCTGAGGCACCAGCACATAATCCTGCTAAAAAGCTAGACTGAGTAGTAAGTTTGCCATTTTCATCCACTAATATTCCTTTCATCGTTTCAAAAGAACCAAATCTAACTGCTGATTTAGGTATTGAACCATACAGTAAAACGGAAAGACCTCTATAGAAGCCAAAAAATCCACGATTCTGTATGGTTTTTGTTATACAATCCCACATTCCTGCATATTGTTTGCCTGCCCCAGCTTTGCCATCAAGTTGCAATTGAGTTTTTACATATTCTGTCGGATATGTAATACATATTTCTATACCACCAGTAATGCCGCCTAAAAAGTAAATATGTGACTATGTTATAATTTCACGTTATTTAATTATGTTCTAATTTTGCTTATGTCAACAATATTTTTTACATACTTTTTCATTAAAGAAAATTGCTTATAAATCATTCTACTATACATTGGAATACAAGGTATTGAAACGTGGGCCATGTAATTAAAAGATTTACTATATTCTCAAGGTTAATATTTCCCAACCTTTGAAATTATCACGCGTTAAACACGCTGACTCAAAGTTCATTTATCTCTTTCCCTCCGCTAGTTTCACGCGTTCGTATATCTCTCTCGCTTCCAGTTAAATGTGTTTACTCTATCGTTCTATTTTGACAAGTGGTAAAGGGTAACAGACACGCGCGTCATTAACAGATTGAACAATTTAAGGATTATTGAAAGAAAAAACAAACAAAAACGAAAGAAAATTAAATAAAACAAAATAACATACCAGCAACAATTCCTTTTAAACCAGTATTGCCACTGGCAGCTGCCGCAAGTCCAGTATCTTTAAGCCAAGGCCTACAGGGAAAAGGATTACGAAATCTTGAAATTGTGCCTGATTCTTGTAATGATTTACATATTAACCAATTATAATCCATTTTTCAGATTTTTGTCTACGCGCCCGTATCCTTATTCCGTTAGACGTCGAACTTGGACTGAGTCGATTAATATTCGTCCGCTTCGATGCGCGTAGCAATGTTCCCCTTCCTCAAAGAACTTCTTTTACTCACGCGTTATTCACCGAATATAGTAAATTACACTTAATATTGAATGATTAAAGATAATCAAAGGGCTGATAACGAATGGAACAAACGAGATTCGTAAAGTCTGTAATACAGATAGTAACCAAAACTACTACTTATTTAACGAAGTTGCTACATTATAATTATAATAATAAAATTATGTTAAACTATTTTTTGCAATCTGTAGGAATTAATTGTCCTTATTACTTAATCTTCATTTATTTTCTACTTTTTACACTAAAACCATTTTTTTTATTTAATTTATAAAATATATATGTTTAAATTAAAAATTAAAAGTATTTTAAATAATGGGGTTTATCTTTGGAAATCAATGAATATTAAATACATTATTGTAAAATTTTAAAATATCTATACTTTAAATCGTTTATATTTAGAGGTGTAAAGTAGGTGAAATTGAATAGTCTGACAAAAACAAAATACATGTAAAATTACAGCTTATTTTATTATAATTTATATAAATTTTTTTAAAATTTGGATAGAACATTCTAACATTGTCAAATTGATAGACCTTATCGAACCTCTTATCATCATTCTGACTATCTCATTATATTATCATAGTGTGACTTATATTTCATAAGCATCTGAAGTACAAGTATACTATCAGGAACGTTTTTATTTCCTATGTTATATAATGGTAATTATTAATACAGCTGTGCAAGTAAGAATATAAGAATTAAAATAATTATCTGGAGATATATGAAACATTTTTTAATTAAAGATCATAGATATACTTTCGTATTAGCCAGTTGCATTGTTATTTTGGTAAATGTATAAATATTTATTAGAATGAGCTTTATTTCCTGTCTAAATCTTAACATAAAAGTTATATTATTATATATGTGGTTTAAAAAAGTCTAAAAATGGACAAAGAGATTGAAAATACTGAGCAACACTGCTCAGTAGAATGTAGGATGTTAGAGTCTGTTGTTAATTATTACCACTGTAATTTACATATTTTACCATCCAGGTGTAGTATTTGCTAAGCGTCTCATTCGTCTGAAATAAAAGCAAATATTATAATTATTTACTTTTCACTCATGACCGCAGCATAATAATATTTACCTCGTATTTCGATCCTGATCACGTATTTTCTTTTCCATTTCTGCATCTGTTAATGTCTCTAAGAATGGTGCCCATTGATCAGCCTCTGAAGGAGGCCTGAAAGGTACTTCCACTGTAGGTAAAGGGGCTTCAGAAAATGCATATGTCCTTTGGTGCCATGACAATTGTCCTCGAACACTAAGAAAAGATTTTATTCGTATTAAGTAGCATAGCAATAATTTATTTTTGAAATATGTAAATATACTAACCTGTATGCAATCGCAGTAACAAATTCTCCGCCAAGACCCAATTCTGCGCAAAGTTTCATCGCAAATTTTTCAGGATTATTTTCTTTTTCAGACATATCCCATTCCACTTGATCTACTAAAGATGTATTGCCCACATGTATATTTAACTTAATTATAACTCGTTGATCACACTGATCTTCAAGAATTGTTTCCTGAGGGAAAGCTTCTATTTGTTGTCTTATAGCTTGTGCAATAGCTGGTACAAAAGTAAGAGGATTTAAATCTAAATCATCGCATAATACCTCGGCGAACTGTTCTGGTGTTATAAGACTCTCTAAAAAAATACCGTTTTTTAGTATTTAGATTTAAAACAGTACTATAGCTATATGCTGATATTAACAGTATTGCAAAATGGAATGTACCATTTTTATTCCATGTAAATGTATCTCTCAACTTTTGTCCTTCAATTTCCATATCTAAACGAATTGGAACTAACATTTCTTGTTGTGCAGCATTTTCTAAATTTGCTGATGGGTCTGTATCATCGAAACTAAAAAAAATCATTTGTATTTGTAAGTGTTATACTATATTATGCTATTATATTTATTAAAAATACTACAGTAGACTCTCGTATAATGTGCGGAATTTTTCTCGTATAACATGAATAATATAAAGTAAGATATTTCAAATGATTATCACCATACTAATTCTTATTTTTTATGTTTTATGGAAAATAAAAAAATTAGGAAACAGGAGAAATCTGTAAAGTAAAGAAAACAATGTAAGCTCAACTAAACCTGTACTCATTTTTAAATACGAGATTTTCCTGTATTTTATTATACTCGCATTATACAAGAATCTACTGTAGCTATAAAATATGCAAATCTGAGACACTTACCATAAAGGAAATGTTCTAACTTTCTTATTGTGTACTCTATTACGATTAATTGGTGTGGCTTGAGGCACAGCATCTAGGTGCGAACTATTTGGTAAACTAGGCACCCATGGCATGGATTTCTTTGACTTCCCTTCTCTAGGAGCTGGAGGTTCCGTTGAATGTACTGATACAGCTTTATATTTATCATCATTCCCTTCAATAATATCTTCAACTTCACTAGCTCTTAAAAGAGATACGCTAGACGCAAGTACATGTTGACTTAGTCCAAGCTCTACTAGCTTTTTACGTTCATCATTTGTAATTGATCTTCTGAACATTCCAGGATAACGTTTATATAACGATCCACGAAATAGGCGTAAATAATTGCCCACTTCGGATCCAATGCAATAATATTCTCCATTTTCTTCCACTTGAAAACTTATAGGTTTATCACCATACGTACGTAAAGCCATGTTTATGATTCCTATAAGAACATATAATATACCAATGAGAATGTATAAAAGGCAAATTATAATAAAATAATTTATGTATAATACGGTATTTACCAATATAAACAAATCTGCTACAATTTAAAAAAGAGAAATATAAAGAAAATGCATAATTACAATGTTTTAGTAGTTCTGAAGTTAACAAGTTCATAACCAAACATCACGTTATTCACGATACAATATTGTTTATCTTCATTACTAGTATTTGTATATTCATTTACCTACCTATTTTGCCGGTCACTTATCAGTTTTCATCTGTCACACATTTATTAATATTGGCATGGACGCAGCATAAAGCATTTTATGCTTCAAAGCATACACTATGTTTTCATTCCATCGAATAATATTTTAATAAAACTACACTTGTAATTGGATACTTATATAGGAGAAGCTTACCTCCAAATCAAAAAGACCAATCGTTCAAATATTTTTGTTGATTATTGTTTAGTTGGTGTTCGTTAAATGTGACAATAAAGATCTTAAAGCTACGTTTTAAAAATAAAGCTACTAGCTACTAGCTTTTAAAAGAATTGTATTGGTACTAATATATTTGATCTGTTTTCAACGTTGGTTTCATGTATATTTACTAACGCGCCAAAATAATTCGTAGATATATTCGTAGAATTTATAGTTGAATATACATACATAATACATAAATATAAACTTTTTGTATTATATATACGAAATTAACATTTTCACATGTAAACATTTTTGCATTCGATGTTTCCTTAAACATCCCTAGGAAATCTTACCTGCTATTCCTTCCCCTAACAATTATTCCGGAATGTGGTAACAAGACAGAGGGGGTGGGAATAATAAACGTTAGGCGTGTCGGCGTCTGTTTTTTTAAATATATTTTAATAGAAAATTACATTGATAAAGCAATCTTATTACAATACTCAGTTCTGAATGGTACGAATTTACCTTCTTGAGAAACTAATTTCGTCTCTTAAAATGTCGGCTGTGCAAAAAATTTTATGCACAGAAAATGCCCTTAAGATTCTCAATCCATAGCGTATCATTTTATAAATCGACAAAGTTCCGATTCTGCAGTTGTGATATAGCACTAAGTATATGTGGCTGGCGTTTGGATACGAGTGGAAGAGGGTATGTTCTTATGGGGTAGCTCGAGGGCGGTAACCTTTGCCGGGGAATGGAGACTGAGAGCGTAAAGTCGGGGGCTAGCGAGCATAGCCATAGCCATCATAGCAGGACTTCTCAAAAACATCATAGAACTCATAGTTCTAAGTCTCATCACAGACAACATTCTCATAGAAGTACCAGGTATTTGAATTTAAATACTAAATGTCATCACCTAATAGTGACAATGTTTGAAACTAACTTTCGTTTTTTAACATCAATGCTTTGTGAAAAGGACTAGCCGTAGTCAGAGGAAGGAAAGACATAATCTGGATACCAGTGAGATGGCTCCCTTTCAAACAACCGTTAATGTAAGAGGTGATAGCGTAGATAACTTGGGTCAAGAAGTTATTGAAGTACAGATATTACCCCAAGATGAGAATTGGGGAGAAAATACTACTGCTGTTACTGGAAATACTTCGGATAGATCTGAATCGACCGAAGATGTCAGCCATTGGCCTCATGAAAATGACGGATCATTTAGTTCCTGTAATCGATTTGTGGGTCCTGTTATAGCAATGATAATCGGATTAAGCGCCTTTCTTAGTCCTGTAGCTATGGTTATACTGCCCAAAGTAGGATTTTTTCCTGATTCTACAACTGTATTAACAATGCAACAAAAGCTACAATTACTATCGTGTAATGCAGAGTGTAAAGGCCAATTATTAGGTTTAGCCTTTAAGTTGGTGCTACTAGGTATTGGGAGTTGGGCTGTGTTTTTACGCTCACGAAATGCTACTATGCCTCGTATATTCTTATTCAGAACTGGAGTGTTACTTCTTACCACATTGTGCATTTGTACTTACTGGTTATTTTATGTTGTTCAGGTATATCTTTTTATCAAGTATTTAAATATTTTTCTCTATTTTCACGTTTATATAATGTTATCATAATCTTTAGGTCACTGAGAGTGCTAAGACTGCTGCTAATGGTGAAATAACAGAGTACAAAAATTTAGTAAATTATGCTGGTACTCTTGCAGATACTCTATTGTTCATACATTATATTGCGATATTACTCATTGAAATCCGACATCAACAGCCTATGTTTTACCTTAAAGTATGTTGGTTTATTTTTATGTAGTATTTTTTACTTTTTGGTTACATTGTAATAATAATTTAATATTCAAGGTTGTAAGATCACCGGATGGAGTATCAAGATCTTATGCAATTGGACAGTTGTCGATACAACGAGCGGCGGTATGGGTATTAGAAAGGTATTATACAGAATTTCCTATCTATAATCCATACTTAGAACGATTACCTGTATCAAAGTCTGGCAGAAAACAATCAAGTTTCAAGTTCTATGAAGTTGATGGTGGTGTAACTAGTGGTGTTCAATCACGGGGAGGTAGCGGTGACAGATCAGTCATGCCTACTCAAACCCGTCGTAGAGATTCTAGCCATAACGAACGATTTTATGAAGAACATGATTATGAACGCAGAGTTAGGAAACGTAGAGCAAGATTAATCACTGCCGCTGAAGAAGCATTTGCACATATTAAACGTTTACATTCAGAGGTAGAATCAACTCCAAATCCTGGTCCCATGGATCCTATGGAGGCTGCACAAGCAGTATTTCCATCTATGGCAAGAGCCTTGCAAAAGTATTTAAGAGTAACGCGTCAGCAACCGCGTCACTCTGTAGAATCTATTTTAAATCGACTGGCACGATGTTTGGCTCAAGATGCAGCACCACGTGCATTTCTAGAGCCCTTTTTTGTAACGAGTCCTGTTCTTTCGAATGAAAAGGAGAGACAAAAACGTTCGCATCATTGGGCCTTAGTCTGCGAGGGTGAGTTGCCGTCGCGACCACTTGCTAACGGTTGCGAATTTCAATTACGACAAGGCGAAGTAGCTCTTTTGTGTACAGCATATCATTTACCCCACTTCCATCTTACAGAACAACTTGCGCATCCAAAATCTAATAAATTCCTACTAAGATTAAATTCTGAAACGTCGGTCTAGTAGCACTGTAAGATTAATAGAACTTTTTGAAATAATTTGCAATCGAATGCTTGTATTTTTAACGAATACAAAACTCATTAAGAATGAGTAGTTTTTTACTGTATATATATACATATAATTGAAAGAAAAACTCCACGATAATAAGCTTGTAAGTATTGTGAATGAAATATAATTATAGCAAGCAAATACTACAGAAGCCTATATTATTGTTATATACATATAGCAATGATAAAGTTATTAGAATATATTTTCAGATAAACAGAAATTTTAACAGCAACAAGATAGTTTTTTATAACACTATCACAAAAATATTCGCATTAATGAAATTACTTATATTTTTCTTTTGCTACAAGCAATCGAAGGATAATAGATAATACAGTTTGTGCATTTACAGCTTTAGATAAAATACTCAATTGTTCGTACTATGGACGCGCACATTTATTTATTACATCATTAGTATATTATTATTCATAAAATCAAAATAAGTCTATCATACTTTATAGCAGTATTGTCTAAAAATATAAAATTCTTAGGTATTTTTCGGAAAACAAATGTGTAATTGAACGAAATTCAAAAATTTCAAACGATTTGTAGAATAGATTTGCTTTAGTTAAATTATATGAGCTACAAATGCTTCTTTGTCATTAAAACAATAGTGTTCCAAAAGTGCATTAAAACTATTATACTTGTAATATCAACAATAACTATCATATAACTTGATGAGGTAAGATATAATAGTCAGTACGATAATAGAATTGAGATGAGATGTGAAAACTCAAATTTGGTTAACGTCTGTAATTCCGAAATAACCAACAGTTTGATTAGAGTTGCTAAGGTTCTGATAATGTCTTTATTGATATTTGATGAGTAAGTTTTATTCAGTTAAACATGAGATTTTCCACCAATGTACATTATTTTTAAGAGACCCAGGATTTATTTAGTATGGCAAGAATGATTACTTGATACCAAAGCTCTATAAATTGGTGATGATTCGGAAAATTTTAAGTCATTAATTATTTCTTGTAATTGAAACAGAGTAATGTAAACTCTTCAAAGAACTTGTTTAATCTCTGATGTATATTGTACCATTTAAAATCATTCTTTTTTAGCAATATCCTTGGTCAAAGTAAGATTTTTAATTGTCTTATTATCCTAGTTGTAACAATATCTATCTTGAAGATGATAGAATAGGATTATTTAGCTTATTAGAAAATCCTAATGTTTTTGTTATCACGAATTTTACTTCCAATATAACAGTTGAGACATTGTTTTGACATTTTGACTTTTTCAGCAAGTAATTTTCTGAAACACTTAGATCACAATTTATTGTATCTTTCTTTAAAAATAGCTTCAGTCCACTCTGTTTATTCCAAATTTTGTAAAGATAGTGTTTTGAATACGTCAAATAAGCTCAATAAAATCTTGATTGTTGATCATTTTGTTACTCATGATCAACAACACATTATTTTAAAATCCAGTGATTAATGAATTGGTAGAAATCCATGTTTAATTGCCTATGTCCTTTGTGAGACTAGTGTCCCCGAATAATTATCATATACTTAGGATCTGTAGGGTTATCATCTCATGAAACATTTTTTTTATTTATTCTGAATGAGAAAAATAATTACATTCCTATAATCTATTTATACAATCTTCCGTTCGTGCATATAATTATGCACCTATGTGTATTTATGTAAAAAGACACATGGCACCTGTATTTTTTAATATAGTTCAATGATACAGTTTCTTCCATGACATCAGTCTTATTAAGTTTTTCCTGACATTTTACACTGGTATTATGTAATTAACTTTTTATAATTTATGTATTTGTTTATCTTTAGATTATTTATAATAATTTTTCAATTTGTTAAGGAATTATTTGAAGTACTTAAATAATAGCTATTAATTTTAAAGTATATGAGCAACTTACAGTTGCAATAGAAAATGAAGTAAAATTTTGATAAATTTATTGAGATTTATAACAATCTAGAAATAATAATTGTATCGTTTATAAAATATATTTAATATAATAGCCTATGATAACTTAAGGAATAATATTTTAATAGTACCTATCTAAACTAGTTGAAAATGTTGTATTCTTTGCTGTAACAAATATTAGTAGCAGTTCTTTTTTGAAGTTTCATTAAATTTCTGTTTCTTTTAAGATTCTTATTTCTTAAGACTCGTCTGTTGTGATGTATTAATTTGCTCATATCTACCCTTGGACACAGTACCATAGTTGATGTACCTCTTTTAAGTATTTAAATACTTTACATTATTTATATATAGCTTTATAGATTCAAAAGTACTGAATATAATGATTTTACTCCATATAATCGCTGATATTATATTATTTTTAGTATAAGTTTTTTGTGTTATTTTAAAATGTTATTTTATATGCCGCTTTACAAGGTTGATGGTATTATATTTGTAACTGAACTTACTATTATAAATATATGTACAGTAAATAATAAGAATAATACTCTACATTCATGTTATAGTATGTATATATGTCATATTCAACATATGAGCATATAAATAAGATGATCAGTGTAACAATGAAACTTGTTATACAAAGAAATTATAATATTATAAAATTGTTTTTTTCACATTCTTGTTCAATATTTAAATTCGAATGACAAAGAGTAAAGTGCAAATTGACCCATGCCTAGAAAATATTTAACATATCACGATTTAGTAATAAAAATATACATCACTTGTCTCTGCTTGTAACTTACATTATTTGAAACAATGATAAGTTAAAAATATTTACATTGAAGTATAAAATAATGTTTTGCTTATGACTTTGAATTTTTGTATGCAGTGTTGCTGTGAATAGCTTTAATTTCGAACTTTTTTTTATTTATATGTGAGCGTGATAAATGTATTAATTAGTAAATTAAGTATATATTTAGTGCATAAATGTCAATTTTCTGATACTTTTGCATATTTCGTACTGTAATTCTTGTTTATAGAATATAAAATGTTAACAGTTTTTTGTAAGTTATTATCGTATTTTGTAAAGAATTGTGCGCACAAAATAAAATTCTAATAGCATAAGGAAAATCTTGAAAAATAAAGAAATGAAATTATTACAACAAATTTTATTGATGAATCAGGTTCTATGAAATGTATTTGAGTGTAAACTGTGTTTTTATAATAATACAAGATACATGAGAAACAAATGAAATTTTTATTCTTCATGCTGTATCGGTAACACTACCTTTTTTTAAAAATAGCTCTTTGATTTACTTCAACTGAATTAAATTTAGGAAAAGTTAATTTATTTTATAAAATCTAGAATTATCTTATTACAAAAATACACTTAATTCATCAATGTAGTTTTTATATATATATCTAACAAACTCCATGCGCTAACAGTAATCAAACATCAGTTTTATCTATATCTATATAAATCGATCCGTTAAGCAGGAACATCACATGTGAAGTAGGTTGGTTAATTTGACGTGCGTAGAAGAAAGTAATACGAAGCTCCTAATATGGCTAGCGATAAAACATCAGGAAAATCTACTGAAGGTACAAAATCCACTACAAATGTATTGCTTGCATTTCAAATGCTACGCAATGAGCAACGAGCAGTGGCTAATAAATTATCAGAACTGGAGATGGAACTAAATGAACACAAGTATGAATTTTATAACCTATACTAATCACCAAGTTTTATACATATAATAATTTTTAGTATTAAAATCAAATAAGTAATTATTTCCAATAAATTTTTATTTCCTGAAATTACACACCAATTTTTAAGAAAATATAAAATTATAAAATATAAATTACATAGTTTTGTTATTTATTTTATGCTAATATTACAAATTTAACATTTATTACCTTATAGATATGATTACTGAATACTTAAACAAAGTATTTTAAATTTTAGGATTGTAATTGATACATTAAAAAACGTGGATGCAGAAAGAAAATGCTATAGAATGACAGGATGTGTATTACGTGAATGCACTGTAAAAGAAGTAATACCTGAATTAATACTAAACAAAGATTTTGTAAGTGTTCCTTAATATTTTACATTGCAGTTTAAAATTTGTCCAAATGTTATAAAATGTTGTATCATTATAAAACCTAAATATGTTTTTCATGGTTTTCAGCTAACGGATGTTATAGATAATCTAAATGATCAGTTAACAGAGAAAGGAATTGAAATAAATGAATTCAAGGAGAAGCATAATATTAAAGTTATGGGTCAACAGGATGTGCAACAACCACAGCAAAACGAAGGTTCAAATGAAGCAAAAAGTTCAGTCGTTGTTAATTCATTGTTAAACAACTATACATAAGATTGAAATTTCTTTTTCCATACATGTCACATTTATATTTAAATCATGTCTTTCGTTTATTAAGTCTTCTGGAATATCATTTTGTTTAGCATTTACAAATATTAAATTTTTTTAAAAATCTATTTTGTGTAAAAGTTTTTTATTGACTTTTGTTCATGGACAATAGCATACAATTTTAGATAATTATTTCAGTCTTCTGGAATTATTACTTTCCTTATTTAACTTATTACTACAAATAATAAGATAAAAATGAAATTTGTTCACTTGAAATTGAAGGATAAGTTTACCCAAAACTTAATTTTTAATTTGTCATAAATATTTGATTAATCATTTCATATTTAAAGAATGTAAGATTGTTATATTCCTTTTACAAAAAAGATATAACATTTGATACATAAAAGCAAATTTTTAGACTTTCTGTAAACATTTAAATATAACATAAGATTTTAACGATTATGGCATTTTTTTAAATGTAATGTATTAACAAAAATGTAAAAATACAACAATACCACTGCATGAATATTACAAAAAGATTTTATTTTTTATTCTCATT